ATATATATATATATATATATATATATATATATTCTGTGAAGAATTTCAAATGGTCAGAAAACCGCATGAAAAACGGGGTAATATTGGTTATTATGAGATGAATAAATCAGAATAACATTCTAATACTCTCAATATATGTAGGTTATTTCACATGCAATATGTTCAATATTAAGTCTGAAATAAGGAACTAATATATCCTGTCAAACCATTAAAGGAATGTCTTGGAATATTTTAAAACCTTTAACCGTATTTCAGAAATCTGCTTCCAATTTTAAATCTATCAAGAACATGCTGCAGACTCCTGGGCAGAGAAAGGAAGGAGAGAGTCTGAATCATAACAGAAAACCTCCAGCTGAGCTGAACCACATGGTATGTAAATTACTACTGCACACTGCCCTACACCTGGATTCAAAGGGTGGAATAATCATTTTAGATTTTCAGGGGGTTTTACTGTTTGACTCTCAGGGATACATTTTTGTCTTTTTTTTTTAATTAAAATACAGAAAATAATCCTTATACTTACTTTTTGAAGTGGGGCTGACAGGGAAGGAGATGATGCCACACCATCTGCACTATTCTTCCCCACGTAACTCTCTCTAAGGCTCCAAACTCTGCCCTCTCAGCCTGCTGTTTACACAGCAAACTCCAGGAAGCTGAGAGGGATGACGGCGTGTAGGAGTGTGCTCTCTCCTTCCTATACCAGCAGCTCTTTCCCTTTCTTCTGCGTTTTTTTCTTTTCTTTCTTTTTCCTTTTTAGCTTCCGGGCTCTGATGTAGATTAGTTGTCACCTCTGATTCCAAATCGGCTCCCTGCGGGGAAAGAGAGATGGAAACATGGTAAAGAATCGCATGTGAATATCAGTGTCAATCAAGTGTCATGATGGTACATTAGGATGAAACCGCAACTGGATTATAGATCAATGGCAGTCTCTTATTGTTACAGTCTCTCCGTTTCTATTTTTATTACTCTTTCATCCTTTCTTGGCTGAAGACAATAATTGTAATTCAGTCAGATGTCTATTTAAAATCAATCTGACTTTGGTTTAACAGGAAATAACATATTTAGGTAAACTTGATTTATTTATGTAAAAAAAAAAAACAGTTTAATAAAGGGGCTGTACTTTTTGTTAAGTTTTGTGAAAAAGGTTATTAAGATTCAAAATTGCTTATTGAAGTGGAGCTCAGAACAAATGAGCTTCTACAGTCTCAGAGCAACTCTAATCCAAAAAACATTATAACAATTGGCACTAAAGGATTTCATCTGATAAAAGTAGAGCAGAAATAAGGGAAATGCTGTTTGATTGATTTCTAACCATTATTCATATCAGACACTTTGGTTTTCTTTATGCAAAAAAAAATAAAAAATAAAGACAATGTTTTAATTACAATCTCCCTGGACACAACGATCGGGGAAATGTTGAAAAAGGTGTTACTTTCCTGCCACAACACTAACAAGCAGTGCGTTCTTTGAAACTTAACATTATGCTGATCGGTACAAATGCTCCTTGTTTTATTGTCTGTTCTGTTTTTCCTCAGAAGTTGAGATTTCAAACATCTGAGTCAGGGATTCCCCCTTACAGTAGGTCAGTCATTCATGTAGATTTTTTATCAAAACAATAAATTAAAATAAACTAAAACATTAACAGATTTTGAGTACTGCAGGATAAAAGCAACATATATACTAATACAATTTACCAATACAATACAATTAATTGAAAATAAATAAATCATAAAATAAATTATTTTTCTTTTACTGTTAAAAATATAATAAAAAATATATTTTAAAAAATAGATCGTATGTAAATAATTGCTTTATGACTGTTGATGGGTCTAAAATATATAATTATTTACTCCTGGTTACGATAATAATCTGGAAATGAAAGGATTCTGCAACACTATGAATAGGAGGTTGAGTTCATGTGACATTAACGAAATGGCCTCTTAACCTTATTCTACAAAGAGTAGAAACGTAATAAAACGTGTTATTTTACCCCCAAAAGAAAAAAAAAAACATCTGCGTAAGAGCTTAGGGTGATGTGAATTATAGTATTTACAAGTTCTATTCTCAGTACATATATTACACAGGAGGATCATTTGTAGACTACAGTCTCATATCAATTTTCCCTCTAAAATAACCCTCCCAATGAAGAAATAATGGCTGTCTAAAGATGGCTAACAAAGAAACCATTATGATTTTTGTTACATTTGGTCTGACTCCCTCTAAATAAGCTGTTAAATGTATCCCTTCAGAATGGTCTAATTTGTATTTAACTAAATAGAACATAAAGAGAGTTATTTATTGTTGGTATTAAGGTAGCTGCTTCTAACCTAAAAATAACCCCATTAAAATAAATAATTGAACTGTCCCTTTAGGTTTAGCCACATCAAAGTAATTTGAAAAAAAGCTAATCACACAAACAAACCTGATTAAAAATGAAGAAATAAAGAATAAATCGCAGCGCATGAAATTTCTTAATTACAAAATTACTTTTCCCCAAAGATGATGCTGTGAACTTTAACAAAGCAGGACTGCTCCAGTCTGTCACTGCGCTCTGAGTTTATTCTGACTGTGTCAATCTAAAAACTGAAGCTGTTATGGCACAAGACAGCATGCAGTCTTCCTGTCACTCACAATGAATAACTCCACTTGTCGTGAAACTAAGGCTCATCATATCATTGGGTTTGAGCTCAAAGCCATCAGTAGTAATGGCTCCCCGTCCTTCTTTAAAAATTCTCCATTAAAAAAATACTTACATGTTTTTACCCTGACTTTGACTGAAACGCGGGTTTTTTGTGTGTGTTTTTCACATTTTCAGAAAATGTCAAAATTGCTTTAGAGAAACCTTGAGGCATCGCAGATAAGATTGGAAAGAATAATAAATATAGATTTGATTTAATCTGTCGAATGATATTTCCTGACTGTAAAAAATAATATGTTGTTCAGGAGGCATTTAACTCGATGCTAAATAATTTAGAATATGATTATAATCACTACAGGACATAAAGCTGAATATGTCTCTGATATGAAAACCCCCAATAGATGCACAAAGAAATTGACTGGTTACTGAAAGTGATGTAGTTCAACCCTTTAATATGCCCATTTAATGCAATTATTTACATCTTTACTAACACATATAAAAAACGGAACAAACATGACTTGACCACTTACCTTTGCTCTTATGCGCATTTGGGAATTTAATCAAAAACAGCATTCATTATAAAAACAATAACATTAAAAGACAGCCAGTTCTCTATGGGTGTATGCCTATTGAATTTCAAAATAAAAGTTCTTCTAAATGATGGTGATAGGGGTCAATGTATTATTACACCTCTATTCACTGGAGTTCACCAGTTTCATCATCAGTAACAGTTTATTTAAATCTCAAATTATGGAACATTTTCTAATCAGTTAATGCATTATACCAGACTCTACCAGGCGATTGTGGAAACTCTTCAGAGCAGATGTTGTTACTGAGTAATGAACATCCAGTCTGAGCTGTTTTCATTAACGGTGGGGTGTTGAAAAATAAAGAGTGCAAAGAGATTTAAGAAGCTATATCAAAGAAACAACTTTCTACAACAAGTCATTCAAGCTGTTGGAGAGGGCAGGATCTAAAACAGATAACAGGAAGACAGAAGAGAGTCCAGTGACTTTAGTTTAAATCTTGTGAGCTTCAGCTTTTGTTCTAGATTGTTCTAGATAGATCAGTTCTGGATTGTTACCTGTTAGCAACACTTTGGAAAATTCAGAATAAAGTTAAGGATCTTCACAGACACATAGCTATTTCAGTGAAGCCAATGAAGCTAACATTGCTAACATAAGGTGTTTAAGTCAGATTAAATGTCAAATCTCTTTATTTTGTGTGTTATAAAGCCTTTTATACAGCTCCATCCCATCTCCTCCTCATGTAAACAAATGAGACCTGCTCTTCAATATCTTCTTTATTATAGTCCTATTGAGAAATTGATTAAATTTGGTTTTAGCATTTTAAAGCTTCAAACATCCCAGAAAGTTGTTCCCTTGTCTTGTTAAGACTGTCAGTCCTCATTTGGAAAGGCAATTTGCAGTGCAAACAGACAAGGTATGACCTTTGCTTAATTCATCTCTTAAAAAATATATATATTTATTTTTAGCCTGAATTGATTTTCAGGTTGTTTTCCCAAGTCTCCTCTCTAATAGCTTTATGTGTTGCATCTATATACTGTCTACTCACTGCACAGCAGAATAGTTCAAGAAATTGATGCAACTTAATTTGCCAAAGGACAACCTCTTAAAATATGGGATAGGATTTATCAAAGGATGTTTGCTAATATATCAAAAATATAACCATGACCTTTTTAACAGCACCTTCAGTTACAGGGAATTTATAAGTCCCTTAAGAAGGATGAGGCCAAAGCTGATCTGAAAAAGTATTTCTGGATCTAAATGTACTATCATTCAGGAGATAAGTGAAAGTTTTTGGGAATGTTTTTTTTGCTACCTTAACCAGTTTGTTTCCACCAACTCTCACTAGCTAACCTACCTATGTTAAATTGAAGCATCCCCACAGCATGTTACTGCCAGCAACATGTTGAATCATAATGTGGTGTATTCGAGGGGGTGTACCATGATATGTTCCTACAACTTTGTATACATCCCAAAAATGTATGTTTTGGGCCTGCAAAAATACTAACCTTGCTTAAACACTGAACTAAGTAAGTGAATTATGGTGCCCAAGACTAAACACGTAACCTGCGAAAATATTTGCCAGTTTCACATGTTTTTTGCTCTACTGACAATTTCCCTGGATAAAGAGAGCAATTCACACCATGTGCAAATTGGTTTGCTGTATTTACTGTGGGAAGCCAGAAGTAAGTCCATTAGATCCTACAGAGATTCTACCAGTTTAGAGAGTCTAGGAGTGGCTGGATTATTGCCACTTTCTGCATAGTGGGAATGGTGAGAAGACTCTCTGAAGCTCAGACAGGGGTATCAGAGATGTCAGAGCAAAAACCCCAGCAGAGAAAGCAGCAGAACCAGGAATTATGGGGGCGGCTGTGCTGCCCACTGTAGCAAAGGAACTACAGCAGCAAATTGGAGGAGGAAAATGGTAGATCAGAGAAGCCCGCCAGGAAAAACCGGGCCAGAGAGGGTGAGAGAAGGTGGTGGTTGGTCGGGTTCTACACTGGAGGTAGGAAGATGAAACAATCCTTCTAGGGCTATATTAAAACAGCTTTTTTAAAAGTAAACCACAAACTTCTAAAGATAATTCCCAACTTTCATACCTTGTCAACATTGTTTTATCTATCTTCAGTTTCTATTCAAAACTGAATAAAACTGCTTTTCCCTGTAGGTCACACCCACATCCAGGCCCTGATTAGTTTTCTCAATGTGAATGTTAACAGAAGTTCAATTTTCCTGCAAATTTCACTTTGCCTACTGTGCAACCTAGCCTCCCTGAATTCAGCAAAAATGCTCAATTCACCTCACTAGAAGTGAAACCTTTTCCCTGCTCCAGTACAGTTTAGCTTCACTCCAGCTGCAAAATTTGCATCAGCTGTGAGCGTACCTTAAAAGCCAACCTGTTGATAGATCCTCCAACCTAAACTGCAGATCTCTGCAGCTCTGCAATAGTTACACATGACTGTTAGCTGCTTCACCAACTAATTTATTGAAGTAAAGGTGTACTTATCATAATAAAGGGGGCTTACATAACCTTCACAATATGCAAGATATGACAACAACATATATTCCCCCACTTCCCCCACTTTCTATTTCTTTGTGTCAGTCTATCACATTACATCTAAATTAAATACATACAGTAAAAGAT